CAGAGACAGGAGGCGCAGCAGCAGCAGCAGCAGCTGTCCCCCGACTCTTCCCGCAAGCCCCCCCCATGGCAGTTTCCGCGGCAGCAACTGAGAGAAAGAAAAGAAATGAAGTCCAACTAAACAAACAAGTTTGCTGCTGCTGCTGCTGCTGCTGCTGTTGCTGCTGCTGCTGCTGCATGCATCTTTGCTGCAGAGGCAGCACCACCAGCCGCCCGCGAGGCTGCAGCGCTGCGGCTTGGGCCACCGGGGGTCAAACTGAAGCCCCCCGCAGCCTTTTTGCGCTGAAAGTGCAAATTAAAAGCCTGAAAGTTCAAATAAATGCATTAAAAAGCATTTAAATGCATTTAAAATCATTTAAATGCATTTAATTGCTTTTAATTCCGCAAAGTTGCTGCAATTCCGCGCAGCCACGCGCCAGCGTCTCGCTGCAGCACAGAGACCGCCGGCACACCGCGGGCGCGCGCGAACAAGTCGAAGCCCCTTTTGCAGATTTTCGGAAACTTTTCGGCGAAAAATTTCTCTTTTGGAAAAAAGAATTCAAATTTTGGATCTTTTTTTCTTCTGTGGCGCAAAAAGGGGAAAAAATGAGCGCCGATCGCCGCGGTGGCTGTACACCGCGGCAGAGCGCCTCTGGGCCAGTGGACAGACACTGCAGAGCCAGCCACTCGCCGCGCCTTCTCTTCTTTCCTTTTCATTTTCGTTTATTTATTTTTATTTATTTTTATTTTTATTTTTATTTATTTTTATTTATTTATTCATTTATTTAACATTCGTTCTTTCTGCTGCAGCCGCCGCGCCAACACCCCCAGCTGCCAGGCTCGCACTGCAGGGGCCACAGGGCTCACTGGGGGGCAGCCTTGACTAGTTTTCTTGTCTGTTGCTTCCATTTTAGTTTTAATTTTGGATTAAGTACGTAAACCCTAAACCCTAAACCCTAAAAAGGGGTTCCAGTGATAAGTTTGCCTCTGCGAGGCGCCTGCCGCCGCCGCCTGGGCTGGGGGCCAAGTGTGCTCCAGCAGCTGCTGTTGGCGCGGCAGGGCTGCTGCTGCTGCTGCTGCTGCTGCAGGCGCCGCTGCGGGAGCAGCTGCAGCAGCAGCAGCAGCAGCAGCAGCAGCCTCTGCGGGGGCAGCGAGGCTCGCCAGCTGCACCTGCAGCTGTTGCTGCAGCAGCATTCGCTGCAGCAGCTGCTGCAGCTGCAGCACCAAGCACTTTGGTGCTGCTGCAGCTGCAGCAGCAAGTGCTGCAGCTGCAGCAGCAAGTGCTGCAGCTGCAGCAGCAAGTGCTGCAGCAGCTCCTGCGAGAACTGGCCTTCAATTAGACTGGCAAGCAGCAGCAAATATTTATTTAAATTTATTTAAATTTATTCTGCAACAATTTCATCAATTAGGCCCACTGCCTTCGCCTCCTCCGCAGAGAAAACTTTGTTTTGCTGGCGCCAGCTGGCGATCTGCAGCAAACAGCAGCAGCAGCAGCAGCAGCAGCAACAGCAGCAGCAGCAGCAGCAGCAGGGGAATGAGGAAGTGGAAGAAATGTTTTTTGAGATTTTAGTGCAGAGAATTGCATGCGGCGAGGTGTACGTACACCCCACGCACTGGAAGTTGAAACTTCGGATTTGAAATGAAATCAAAATAAAATAAAATTAAATAAATTAATTTCTTTTGACTTCTTCTGCTGTTAATTTGAAATAAAATCAAAATTAAATAATTAATTTCTTTTTACTTCTTCTGCTGTTCTGCTGCAGTGCTTGGCCAGCAGCAAATCAAACAACTGCTCTTCAGCAGCAGCAGCAGCAGCTTGCTGCAGCAGCTCGTCAGCAGAGCCTTGGGCTGTGCCTGAGGAAGCAAAAAACAATTTCATTTCTTTCATTTTTATTTTCCTTTTATTTCTTTTTATTTTCTTTTTATTTTCTTTTTATTTTCTTTTTATTTTCTTTTTATTTTCTTTTTATTTTCTTTACTAGGAAGAGAACAGCTGAAGTGGAAATAATGAATTAAAAAGCATTTCCACGATTTTGCACAGAACAACTTTTATTTTTTTAAATGCATTTAAACATTTATTTGCATTTTTAAACATTTTATTTGCATTTTTAGGCATTTTATTTGCATTTTTAAACATTTTATTTGCATTTTAAACATTTTAAAAACAAAAGCGCGAAAACAGATTTTTATTTGCTGCAAAAGTTGCATGCGTTTGCATGCGGACAGTTCTGCGGTGTACAGACACCCGGCGAACTCGCGGACTCTTGAAGGGGAAATTGCGATTTAATTCTTTTTTAAAGTGGAATTAAACATTAAATTCCTTTTTAAAAAGGAAATTAAACATTAATTTCTTTTTAAGAAGGAAATTAAACACTTAATTCCTTATAAACTCCAAAATGCTGCATTTGCATGCACCGAAAGAAAGCCAAATCTGCGCCGCGCGGTGTACGTACACCCCAGAAGCCGCAGGCGCAGCGCCAGGTGTACAGACACTCACAGGCGGACTGGCAAAAGAAAACTTTTGCATTTTTTGCTGCTTTTCTTTTTCCAAGAAGGCCCGAAGACAGCAGCAAAGCAGCAGAATGGCCCACACACCCCACAGCCAAAGTCTGCAGCAGCAAATCCCCAGACACCAGGCCCAGCACGTCGTACAGCGCCAGCGCTGTGGGGCCCCACACGCAGCAGCAGCAGCAGCAGCAAATGCAGCAGCAGCACGTGCAGCAGCAGCTATCGCAGCAGCAGCAAACGCAGCAGCAGCAGGTCCAGCAGCAGCTATAGCAGCAGCAGCACGTGCAGCAGCAGCTATAGCAGCAGCTATAGCAGCAGCAGCTATAGCAGCAGCAGCACGTGCAGCAGCAGCTATAGCAGCAGCAGCACGTGCAGCAGCAGGTATTGCAGCAGCAGCAGGGCCTGTCCCCTTGCTGCTGCTTTTAAATTCTAATTTTATCGTTTTAATTTTTATTTTATTTATTTAATTTTATTTATTTTTATTTTTGAAATTTTAAAAGTGCTGCTTCACCTGCCGAAAGAGGGCCTCCTCTGCTGTTGATGAGAAGTTCAACTCGGGCTTTTTCTGCTGCTGCTGCTGCTGCTGCTGCTGCTGCAGCTGGGTTTGCTGCTGCTGCGGCTTTGGGGCTTTTGAAGTTCATTTTGCTTCTCGTTTTTTCTTCTTTGCTGCGCTCCCGCTGCTCCCCCTGCAGCAGCAGCAGCTGTGCTGCTGCTGCTGCTGCTGCTTCCTCCGTCAAAGGGCCCCACAGAAAAATCCGCTGCTGGAAGTGCAGCAAATGGCTGAACACGTCGCTGCCGCTGCGCAGCGCAGTGGGCAGCAGCGCCTGCAGCAGCAGCAGCAGCAGCAGCAGCAGCAGCAGCAGCAAAAGTAGCAGCAGCAGCAGCAGCAGAGGGAAAAGATGAAACACGGGAAACAACACGGAGGCCAAGTGAAGAAAGTGGAAGGTAAATGAGACTACGGGAGGCTCAATGCGTAGCCGTAGCAGCAGCTGCTGCTGCAGCAGCAGCTGCAGCAGCAGCAGCAGCAGCAGCAGCGACAGCTCATGCTGTATCTACTGGACCCTAGCAGAGACAGAAGCAGCTCCAGCAGCAGCAGCAGCAGCAGCAGCAGTATTGAAAGGCGGGAGTTGAAGCAAAAGAATTGATGCTGCTGAAGCTGCTGCTGACTCAAAGAGAGAAATTCAGAAAGTGCTGCAGCAGCAAACTTGTAGTGCTGCAGCAGCAAACTTGTAGTGCTGCAGCAGCAAACTTGCTGGAAACTTACGGGGGCTGGCTGCGCCGGGGGCGGCAGAGCTGGTGCTGCTTCCAGCAGCGCCTTTAGCTGGGAAGCAGCAGCAGCAGCAGCAGCAGCAGGAGCAGCAGCAGGAGCAGCAGCTTTTCGTCTGTTTTCCGGAAAAGAGCCGATTCGGGGGGGAACTTGGCGGAAAAACAAAGCTGAAGGGGAATTTAGAGGAAATAAAAACGAAAAATGCGGCTGAGACAAAAGAAAAAGAAGAAATATAATTCTGAAAGTGCTGCTG